TCCTCGTTCTTCAGAGTATCACAATTTGCAACTGAAGCCCCTTTCACTAAAAGAAGACATGTCTGAGAAAAAAATTTAAGGAAAAAAAAAACTAAAAAAAAACAATAGCCATTTTTAGTTTGTTGCCTCAAGAGTTTCAGCTTCTCCATCACGGTAATCACCCCAAAACCGTAGCACCCTGCCAGGACCGAGGGCCACCCCAGTCGAAGGCCCTATCCGTCCAAACCCACCAGGAGACGTGAGAAGGGGAAAGCGCAAGCTGCAAACTAAGCCCCGACCACCACGAGGGCGGTGATCTGAGCCCGCCGCCAGGCCCGACCTTCACTCCGTCCGAAATCCCAGCGACCGCTATGGCGACATAGATTTTGGGAGAAGCGCCATCAACGACCGGCATGGATCCTCAGGCCTGATAGAATTGACGTCGCGGCCATAGTGCGAGTCGGCGCCAAGGAAACGGAGCCTTGCCGGTGGAGTGCTGAAGCCGCGGTCAAAGGGAAGAGGTGGTTTGGGAGGAATCGTGTTTTTGTGAAAAATCTTATTTTGTTTAGGATTAACTTGTAGCTAATTTGTTGCAAAAATTAAGGAGAATAGATCTTAATTAAAAACATTCCATATTTGACATGTTGACTTCGAAAAATTAAACATCAGGTATATGTGTAATTATTTTGTGTTGAAGTTGCATTTAAATAAAAAAAAAACTAATAGGTATTAAATATGCAATACAATTATTATATGAAAGTGCTAAATTCCTCTATTATAAAATGTCATATATGTATTTATACTATTTTTGTATGTGACATTTTATTATAGATATACATACTTATAAAAAAATTATTATTTAATAAATAGGTCTGTGGAACAATAATCTCACTATTAACCTTTTCGAGCAACTTTCATTTAACTATTAATTAAAAATGCCTCTGAATTATTGTAAATATAAATATTATGATTTATTTAGATAATTCCCTTCAAAGGGATAAAGTAAATTACCAATGTTAGCAAGTTGCATTGATAGAAACTAGCCCATTTGCTTGTATATATTTCTTAAAACCAAAGTTTATCTTACGTCAAAGCGCAGATCAAAATAACCCAAATAAAATGATGCAAATTAGCCAAATGACTGACCGATAAGAAGATAACAACCACTAAGTATTCAATTAATTTTTTTGTTGAAGGGGAAAAAAAAATCCATTAAGCTTTGATCCTTCTAAATTCCACAAAGCTTTGATTCTTCTAAATTTTGAAATCTATATACATATAATTACTAGCAATAAATTTAACAAAACTCTTCAAAATTTCCTCCATTTTCCGTTACTTATCATTAATTAAGAATATAGATTATTTATTTATGTATTATATAACATTTACTTTTAACAAATTATAAAGTCACATTAAATGATACTCTAATCTAATTTTTTTTTCAAACTATTTATTTAAAACTGCTATTTCTTTTTATGTTTTAACTCATTAAGCAAGTTTTTTTATGATTTAACCAAACCATTTAAAATTTCGTACACAATTGCTATAATAAAATGTTAATATTATTTTATCTTCAATTATTCATAATCAACAAAGATTGCAAAAATTATATTATTACAATCGATATAAAGATTAATATGTAAATTAATAGTTTATATGTTACATACACACAAAAGTATCATATAAAATTTTATTTGCATCTGTCCATATGAACAAGATCGAATACTAGGAGTTATACATATTTAACTATACTCATATGCTATTTAAATTTTGCTATATAGAATTGATGGTCACTTATTAACGTTCATCCTTTCAAATTCAAAATGCTGGCATATATTTAGCTAAAGAAACTGTCTTCATACGTTTCCCTTTTTTGCCATCTGTGTAGTAAATTTTCTGCAATTTATAGACCGAAGTTGCCCAAAAATTACTTGCGAAAATTGACAAAAGTCCAATATGTTCAAATTATAACAAACTCCGTGGATTTTTACCTT